TCAGATTCAGTTTCTTCATTGCCAGAGAGGGGCAAAGACCAATATTTTCTTCCTTTGTAAAGGCCTTCCAAAATCCTTTGAGCCTTGGTGATTATTGGTCTTTGCCAGGCAATAGATTTTTTAAGATTTTAATTATTTGTCTTTTACCTCTTTCCCAGAGTTGGGAAGACTGCTGGGAGAAGAGAATCCTAGGTTTTCATTCTTGATCTGAATAATATATCCTGATTTAAAGACTAGTGTGTGGAGCCTGGAGGAGAGCTAATGCCTTCCATGTTTCCAAGAATGTTTTGGGAACTACAGTAGATAGGGTCATCCAGATTTTGAAAATTTGAACTAATAATTTTGTGTAAGGTAAACATTTTCACCACAAGGAAATAAATTAATTTGTTTTTATTTTTTTAAATTAATTAATTTATTTGTTTTCTCAAACTGATGTGTTACACAATTAAATATTATTTAGAAATGTGATCTTTAGAGATTAAATCTCCAAGCTGAAGGGTACTGTATTTTTGAGTTGACATATATTGATTAAAACTGACTGAATCACTGGCTTGAAGGTGGGTACTTCCTCTTGTCCTCTGTTGATTGTGTTTTCTCTTAAGATTGAATCTTGCTATACAAAGATGTTTGGGGCTTAATGCTTCAAGTCCCTCAAGAAATGTTGAGATATTTTGACTGAGTAGAAGCATGGTGAAGTCTTCATTAAGAACTTGGACAGTGGAAGGGTATTAATTCTTAAAATGTTTGATACCATATTGGGGGAGGGGTCCATAAGCCCAAGGGTAAACCTTAACAGTTGATAGATCTTGTTAGGCTGGACAAATGGTTTGATGGTAACATCAGGAAGGTTAATCAAGTCATGTACCTGGAATAAAGAAACCTTGTCCCTCTCTACAGGCTGTGTGATAACTGTCTAGGAATGATGAGCTTTGCAGAAAAGAACTGCGGTGTCCTGGTGGAAAACAAGGGCAAGTGAGTTGCACATTAGAGAGCAGTGTGTGTGTAGTGATGGAAGCTAGGGCTGTATTAGAAAAAGTGTATCCAGCATTTTGGGAGGAGTGATTATTTTCCTGCCTTTGGAACTGATGAGGCTGCATCTGGAATACCGTGTGGAGTGTTGGCCTGCCATTATAGGAAAGGCATAGGCATAGTGGAGCAGAGGACAACTCTCTTACTTAGGGGCTGGAGCATATGATGTATGAGGAGAGGTGAGAGCTGACTTTCTGGAGTCAATCTCTGCATCCTTTATTGAAGATCTGCAATATAAAATGGGATATTTAGAACATTAGGAACGTAATGTCGAATAGTGTGATCTTTTTTTTTAGTTTCTCACTCCTGAGTTGTAAAAAAGCAAAACTACTTATGAAATAGGTAAAGTTCTAAGGTATGAAAAATGCATTTGGTGGGTTTTTTTTAAACAATATTTTTTATTTTACATATATAAAACACAATACTCAATAGTGAACTCACGGGCTTCTGCAACTAGATAGGGTTTGATCTTTTTTCCTTACTCAGTCATATGATTTCTTCCACATTTTTCATCTTAAGAACTTCAGGTCAAAGGTAGGTACTTTACTCAATTAGAAGAATTTCACAAAAGGTCTGAAGTATTGGAGTCTACCATTTATTGGAGGATGTCTAGCATTTCAGTCCTGTATTACAGTTCTACTGGTAAAAATGTTTTTATGTCCTTACAAAATAGCATTATATTGTGTGTCATTTGTGAATAAGTGATCATGAGCTACTGGAATCCTTGCACGAGTCTCCTTTACTGATGTTAGTTAAACTGTTAAACTATGGGGACCTTGTTCAGCTCTTAACTGAGAACATCAGTTACTGAAAACACTTGTAGTGGTATGTTGAACTGCCTTACTTTGCTTTTGTGACACCATTTGACGCAGATTATTTTTTGTTTGTTTTTTTTTTTTTTTCCAAAGCAAAATCAGATGTTTCAAGAGGAAGGGTTGTGAATAGTTTTGGCTATGTTTCTCCGTGATGGGATACCCTTTGTGTGTCTCTTCCACCGATTTGCAGTGTTGCAAATACTCTTTTTGAATAAAGAAGGAAAAATGATGATACAAAATAATTGTGAATAGAATATACCTTACGAATTTCACTTGCGAACTGCATAGAGTGTGAAGCTTACAATGCATAGCATAAGCTGTGTAGCCATTTTGTCGTCTTTGCTCTCCTGAGTAATATAATTAGAGGCCCATGGATGGTAAATACAGAGATAAGGAATAAAGAAAATATTTATCGTTTCCTGTATGTGAAATTCTTTTGATAGTATAACAAAATTGAAATGGTGAGGAAGGTAAGGGAAGTTTAGAATGACTTGCATGTGTTTGTCAGGGTTTAATGACTTTTAGACTTGTTAAAAGTACAAAAAGTGTTTTGGGAAGGTTAGATTTGGGTTTGAAGTAATTCTGTAACTTGCTTTTTTGTATTAGATGTGCTATTAGTTGTGATTTGTACATCTGATTTTGCTTTATGAAATCCATTTTAAGGACTATTTTTATGTTTCTATGTAACAAGTTGGCAACAACCTTTGAACATGTTAGGGTAATAATTTGGTTTTACTATAGATTCTACAGGTAAGAATATGTACCCTGTACATAAAATGCCCCATTTCAAGAGCAAAAAAATCTCATAATACTGCCTTGGGTGTCACACAATTCCTTTAATAGCTATATAGGACCGTTTGCTAAGTACAAGACTTGTGTATGGTTACACAAGTAGAGTTCCCTAATAAATGGTATTACTTGAACTCTTGGTGGTACTTGTGGCTCAACTGGACAGGGCAGTTGCACAGTGATAATTAGCATTTGTACTGTCCCTGTAAAACCTCAGTTTATAGTGACTATTTCTGAAATCATCTTTTCCAGCAAATCTTTCTAAACCTGGAGTCCTATTAGTGTTTTATTCCATGTCAGAACAGATAATTTGAAGATTTGTAAGTGGAACATAGCATAGTACTCCAACATGAACTACTTAGATTCTGGCACTTCACAGCTGATTTGGCTTAGCCTGGTGCTTCTTCTACTTTTTTTTTCTTTTCTTTTTTTTTTTAACCAAATTAAAAGTACATCAAGTTACACGATAATCAGTCTCTTACAGAACCACATTGCTCCTTCTGCATAATATTAGTAGCACTTGAATCAAAGACCATTAAGCCAGGACTAAGACAGTAAAACCAGACTAAAAAGTAAACCAGATACAGAGTTGCTGCAGTGTTTGGGGAAGTTTGTCAAAATTTGTGTTAAACTAAGAGTGGGAGACACAGTTTAAAAGAGGCGTAAGCTGTTAATACCTCTAGTACTGTGGATCCTCAGCACTTCACAGAGATCATTAAGGTACAGTGGTAGTGTGAAGTTTGGATTATCTTCGTGTAGTCCTCTGTATACTTAAAAAGTGTTTAGATGAGGGGAATGGCAGAACCTCTTTCTGACCTAGTAACAAACTCTTGAACTAGAACTAAATTAGCATGGCTCTGGAGACTTGGTGGGTACTACTGTGTCAGTCCCTACTAGTGACTGACAGCACAGGGTCAGTCATGGCAGAATTCTCTCCAGTTCTTTTTGGATGATGGTTGCTGTGATTTTCACATCAAAGGATTTCATGGGGTGGTCATTGATATCATGGTCAGAAGTTATGGTATCTGAGTTTCTGGATCTGTGTCTTAAAGAATGTATTCGCTGTTAACTTTGTGAAGTGCAGGGTAGTTTTCCAGGTCTATGTAGGACACCTGAGTCTAATACAGGAGAGCAAATCACTTAAGTCTTCAATGTAGATTATTCACATTTTACCTGCAAGACTGCTCTCTGGAGATGGTTCTTCTCATATATTTTTGAAATAGGTCTTCAAACACTGAAGAACTTTTAACTTTCTGTGGATGGTTTTCTTCCCCTTAGATAGCTTATCTCTCTTGCAATTAAATAAATTTTAACATCAATATCAATGCATCTTTGAACTTAAAATCACATGCGACAGTCTTTTAGAGATGGCTCAGCGTTGGGGTTGTTGAGCCTGGAGAAGCTTGGGGAGACCTTTCAGTACCTGAAGGTGGCATACAAGAAGACTGGTGAGGGACTATTGACCAGGTGTCGTGATAGGACAAGGGGTAATGGCTTTAAACTGAAAGAGGGTAGGTTTGGATAAGAGATGAGAAAGAAATTCTTTACTGTGCAGGTGATGATACACTGGAGCAGGTTGCCCAGCAAAGTGGGGGATGCCTCATCCCAGGAATTGTTCAAGACCATGTTGGATGGGGATTTGTGCAATGTGGTCTTGTGGAAGGTGTTCCTGTCCATGGCAGGGGGTTGGAACTAGATGATCTTTAGGTTCTTTCTGGTCCAAACCCTTCTATGATTCTATAATAAAAATTGAAATGTTTTTCTACAAAGAACTAAATATAATTTATTAAGAGAATCCTGTGAGAAGTTTTCTTGTACTGAAGTGGGCATTGCTGCCTTGTTCCCTTTGGCAAATGGTCCATGTTCCCCCTATTGTCACTTCTGGCATGCCTTACAGGAATACAGAAGTAGCACAGTACATACAAAGCAGTCCTTATTCATGAACATGAATTTTATTTTCTTCGTGTGACAATAAAACTGGAAAGAGAGTGGGAGTGATATGGTTGTTATTTTTCCATCATAAATTAGTTTCTGCAGAGGATGACAAAATTGGCAGGACTGCAAAGGTATGTGAACTACTCTGCCTTCATATGGAGATACTTTAATTTTTATGAAGTAGTTCTTTAAAAAAGACAGTACCTAACCGAAAAAAAAAAAAAACACCTCTAAAAATGTAAATAGGATTTTTTAAGTTCACAGTTCATTTGTGTCATGTATTAACTAATTTTTCCTCCAGTATAGTTGTTGACTTTCGCACATGTACATGCTTTATCACTTGTTTTATAAAGAAGAAACAGAGGAAAGGGAGAACAAAGCTTATATGGAGTGGTGGTTTTATAAATAAGACTTTTCTTCTCTGTTTTCCAGATTCAATATTGCATAAACATGGGTGCATTTTTGGATAAACCAAAAACTGAGAAACATAACGCTCATGGTGCAGGGAATGGCTTACGTTACGGCCTCAGCAGTATGCAGGGATGGAGAGTGGAAATGGAAGATGCTCACACAGCTGTTGTAGGTATTCCCCATGGCTTAGAGGACTGGTCCTTTTTTGCTGTCTATGATGGTCACGCAGGATCTCGTGTTGCAAATTATTGCTCCACGCACTTGTTAGAACACATCACTAACAATGAAGACTTTAGGGCGACAGAAAAACCTGGATCTGCTCTTGAACCTTCAGTGGAAAATGTCAAGAGTGGAATCAGAACTGGCTTTTTGAAAATTGATGAGTATATGCGCAATTTCTCAGACCTCAGAAATGGGATGGACAGAAGTGGCTCAACAGCAGTGGGAGTTATGATTTCACCTGAGCATGTATACTTTATCAATTGTGGTGATTCACGTGCTGTTCTCTATAGGAATGGACAAGTCTGTTTTTCAACACAGGATCACAAACCTTGCAACCCGAGGGAGAAAGAGCGAATCCAGAATGCAGGAGGCAGTGTAATGATTCAGCGTGTTAATGGTTCATTGGCAGTTTCTCGAGCTCTGGGGGACTATGACTACAAATGTGTTGATGGTAAAGGCCCTACAGAACAACTTGTTTCTCCAGAGCCTGAGGTGTGTGAAATATTAAGGGCAGAAGAAGATGAGTTTATCATCTTGGCTTGTGATGGAATCTGGGATGTAATGAGCAATGAAGAGCTCTGTGAATTTGTAAAGTCTAGACTTGAAGTATCAGATGACCTGGAAAAAGTGTGCAATTGGGTAGTGGACACTTGTTTACATAAGGTATGTAACTTTTCTCCAAGCAGCTGTTCTAAAATTAACTTCTGGTTAGAGGGGTACAGATGTTAACAGCAGTTCCTGGCCTACTGTTCAACTTCTCCATCTTCCTTTCCTCAAAGTTCTGTACCAATTTGAGTGTATACCCTTGCTGAAGGATATACAGCCTCATCCTTTATATTTGGAGAGGTGATTGCAATTGCAAAAATAAAGGTTTATTAGGTTCTCAAATAATGTTTGCATATGGTTCCAACTCTAAACTTTGATTCTAAATACAACATTTAAAAAATAATCAAGTCTGAGGAATGCATGTTGTGGAGTTAAAGTTTGGTAGTGTTTGTATCTTTTACCTAAAACCAGCATTGGCATCATCTCCTCCTCAAGGTAGGGCTTGTCTCATCTGAAGTGGTGTCTTCAGCTCATTGTAGCTTACTTGGAGAAGCACTACTTTTGCACCTGAGCTTGCATGCACTCCTCAAATTTAGAGTTTGGAGCAACTTCAGGTCAGTTGGTAAATAGGGATATGTTTCCAGCATTTCCTGAAGAGTGCAGCTCCTGCTAGTGCAGATAGAGTTCCTTTGTTAGGCCACAAACAAAACATGCAATTTGGAGGAAAACAGTAAAATTCAGAATGGTAACTAAAAAGGGTAAGTAGTTGGGTTTTGGTTTTTGTTGTTGGGTGGGGTTTTTGTTTTGGTTTTGGGTTTTGTTTTGGTTTTTTGTTTGTTTTTGTGTTCCAGAAATAGGATTGTATTCCAGCAAATACCATACAGAGCATGACTGGTTTAAATGCTGTGGCTTGTCTGCCCAAGCCAGCCTTGTTAAAGGATGGTCACTCCAGTAAAACTGAGCAGTGACTGCATGTTTATTTTTCAAAGCCCTGTCCTAGATCTCTGCAGTTTGTAACATTATTAGAATGTTGTCTTCTGTCTTTAGGATGTGAATTGTACCACATAACAGTAACTGATAGGTGTCCCCATATGCTTGGTACAAAGGGCAATGTAGACTAACTCCTGAGTATTTTTGAAGGAACTAATGTCAAATTCCTACTTAATTGCCTCAGGAGAAGGTTTTGTTGTCATAGATGCTAGGAATTATCCAGTAGATTGGGTTTACATAGAAACAATATGCAGTGACACAGAAAAAAAAAAGTTAAGATTTTAATTTCAAACTAGTAGTTCTGCTGTATTTGGAACAAGTAAAAATGTGATTAGAGTAGAAAAATGAAAAATAAGATTAAAGATACTGACTTCTCTTTTTCCTTTGTCATGTAGGGGAGTCGTGATAACATGAGTATCGTATTAGTTTGCTTTTCAAATGCTCCTAAGGTCTCAGATGAGGCAATGAAAAAAGATGCCGAGTTGGATAAGTACTTGGAATCACGGGTTGAAGGTAAGAAATCCATTTTGTAGACTAGATAGTGAACCAATAACAACTTGATTGTGATAGTGACCACAATAGTGTCATAACTATCTTGAGCATGAAAACAAAAACTCTGAAAGCCATTTTCCCACCTAATGTTGGGTCAAGTTCAGGCCTGGTTACAACTCTGAGTTTTTGTCTGTCAGGAAAAGTGTTTTAGGCCATGTGCTTAGTTTATCCCGGTATTCTGCAAGCACTTTCTTAATGTGAGCTTTAGGTTTTTTACTGCTATCTGTACAGGTCAAAATGCAACTACCAAAACTTGCAAAGTGTTAAATCGGTTCAGTAAAATGTGATCTTGCTAATGTCCTGCTTATAAAATATTCAAGGGGTACTTGTACTATTTCTTCCCTTTCCTGTGGAAGTTTTTGACAACAAGAAAAATCTGTACTGGGTTTTTGTGTCAGTGTCCCAGTAATCTAGATAGTTGATGCAGCAAACCTAAATTTAGATATGTATGTAATAAGGCCTTCAGATACAAGTTATCTCTGAGCTCACAGCTATTGTGTGTGGTGTCTTTTCCTCTTGTTCAAATGGGATGTAAATTGAAATGGTTTGCTTATTTGTAATTAATGTTGAGATTAGAGAGCACTAATGGTCACTTCAAATGCTAACTCTAGGCATGTTTCTTGGAACTTGGCTTACATCCCAGGCTTCCTAGATGACACTAGTTAAGATAAATACTTGTTACCTTCTGTGTCAGAGTAGAGAACAGGAGCTGTTAATGGGCTCTGGGAGAGAGCCAGGAGCAGTTACCTCCACTGTCAGCACTCAGGTGTGCATAGTGGTTACAGGTTACTATTCCCAGCTTCTTGGTGGCTCCTCTCTGTTAGCAAATAGGTGAAAAATAAATGGAACTGCAGTGTGTTTTATTGCTTTCATAAGTGAATGTTAAGATTAATGGAAAAGCTGTCAAATAACTTGGGATCAGAGTGAATTGATTAACTGAGAATTTTAGCTCTATTGTCATATTTAACTAAATACTACACGCCAAGAAAAAACCCAACATTGTAGGGTGTGTAGTCTAAACTGATGTGTAGTCATTCCAAATATAACTCAAAATGATTGTTGAGCTTAAGTGCTTCAGAGAAATCAATTGCTTCAAAGCTTAACCTTCTGTTGCTTCAGTTTTTCTTGATTTTTTTTCTTCATTTTATTTTCTCCCGAATGACGTGTCTCATTCTGTGTTCGACTAATTGGACAGAGTGCAAGGCCTGTAAATGTCAAGTATTTAGCAAGGAATGATAGTTAGCATATTTGAGGAAATTCTGTCAACAAGTGGAAAAGTCAAGGAAGCAGACTTCAGAAGAACTTGAAATATTTATCTGATTTTTAACAAATTTTTGTATTAATAAATCCTATGAAATTGTAATAAAAGTTTTGGCAGGTGGGAACTTGTTTTAAATAGGAGAGGACAACTGCCTTAATCAGGTTTACATTCATCTTTAGATTAAGTGTAGTCTAGACAACAGTGGGTAAAACAGCTGTGCCTCAAAGGTTTAAACTAACTTAATTCTAAAAACTCAGAGCTTGGTAGATACATTATGACAATATGGATTTGTTTAAAATGCCTTTCTAGATGATGACTGTTCCTTTCAAAAAGGAAATAATGGTCTTTGAACACAGTAAATTAACATGAATGATATTTTTCTTTAATCTATTGAAAAGTTAACAACCCACACGTTATCAGCAGTTGGTTGATTGCCAATAACAATTTTATTTATACCTGCAGTAAAAACATTCTGCAACAAATAAGCTTGTCTTAGAACTACTAAGCTGTGAAGATAGGTGTTGTCAAAAATAGAAGCTATGAGTTCTCTTGGATACTCTTGTCTTTCAGTAAGTGACTAGTATAAATCAGGGCAACATTGGAACTTATTATAAAATCCCTTGGGACTTCTTGAAGCAATTATAGTTTGATCACTGGTGTTTGTTCTTCATGAGTGTACACTATTCAGCATGGACTATTATTTCTGTTCTTTTGTGGACCTTAAATGCCAAGTTGGCTGGACTAACCCATCAAACCTTTTAGGCAACTGTTTCTTTTTTCACTACTGTACTTGGGCATTTTAAGCTCTGGCTCAGATTGAAGAGTTGTATTTGAGGCATACTTTTGTTTGATTTTAAAAACGTGAAAAAAATAGGTCTGTGTTCGAAAGCAGTTTAATATTTGTGTATGTAACATTTTTAATTTGTATTTGTTCCTTCCTAAATAGCATGCTGAGATTCTGTATATTTTCATGATGAGTTGAGTTAGTAGTTCCATGAGATCTTTCCAGAGTTATTAAAAGAGATATTATTTCAGTACTAAGAGATTTTACTGTAACAGATTTATTAAAAAGCATATTCAGCAAGTCAGAGTTTACTAGTGGAAGAACTATATACCAATGCTCTTTTGCTAGTTTGAGGGTCTTGAAGTTGACAAAAGGTGGATAACTACATTCCAAAGCTGCCAGTTCTGAGTATACTGAAATACTTGATGAGGTTGTAGTCAGTAGCTTGTGCTTGAGTCATTTATGACTGTGAGCACAGCCCTGCTTCTGGTTTGAGTCATTTAATTGGTCAAACTCCAAAGCAGAATCACAGAGCCATAGAATAGTTGAGGTTGGAAGGGACCTTAAAGATCATGTAGTTCCAACCTCCCCACCATGGGTAGGGCACCTTCCACTTGTCATAAAGGTGTATTGGACAGTAGTGAAGTTGTGCTGGGTGGGTCTTTTCTTACTGCCACTTGCAAACACTACTTTCTCTGTGTTTCAGAGATCCAAAGTTTGGTCGCAAGAAGAGAAAACTAGGCACAGAAGTCAATTCAGTTCTCTGTTATGTTCAATTTTATTTGAAAGGGTGCATCAGAGTTGTAGTTAATAACAAACAGACAAACCCCACAAAACCCAGTAAACACTAACCCCGTAAATCATAAATAGGGGCACATGATCAATGTAGGCTTGAACAGTCTTATTAGTAAATACTCAGTTAATACAGTGGGTTGGATGATGCATTTTACATGTGTGGAATATAAAAACTGATTTGTCATAATAGCTGGGCATGATAGGAGGTGCTGGAACATAGAGAACTTGTAATCTGGTGGGGACTTGTATTACATAAAATTGAAATACAATGTTAGCTGAATTTTCAAAATGCCTATCTGTGAGTTAAGTGTTAGGCTTTCAGTGACAAGTATTTTAGGACTAAAGTAGTAGACTTTGTACTGGACCTTCATGGATTTACAGACATGATAATATCAGGAAATGGTTCTTGAAGTGTCTGAATTATATTAGCAATGCAAAGTTAATTGCAGGGTTATTCTTAATATCATAGAGATGAAGGTGAAAACCTTGTAAATGCCCATAAATCTGTTTCTGAAAACATGTGGTTTCTTTCTCTAGTGGCCTTTGTCAAGCAAATCCACAGTCTGTATCTGCTAACTGATGTGTAATGAAAAAAAGGTCATTTGCTTTATTCTCGATTTTCTATTAGGAAGCTTTTTTTTTTTAATGAGAGGGACAGATTCCAGATGAAATAATTCACTCCAGTATCAGGAAAAGAAAAAGGTGATGGTCAGTTCAACCACAATTCCTGATTTAGCACCTTCTAGAAATGGAGAGAAGATGCTCATGGTCCAGTTCAGTACTCCCTGAGGGGTTGATACACAGTATAAAGTAGAAATTTCCAGTACCAAGAAACATAGATCAGTCCTTAGCTGTGATTGCTTTCCTTTGTGTTTATGAAGATATAAAAACTTATGCTTCCATTAATATTTAGGAATTACTTACTCCTGTAGCCTTTCTTCTTATTAATTCTTGCTTTTTGTCTACTTATTCTATGTACAGAACTAGATGTACTCGTGATGTAAAAGGTAGTGTATAAAAAGTACTGTATACAAAAGGTGTATTTCCTGTCAAATGGATCTCAGCAAAATTATAGCAGTACAGTTACTTCTAACTAGGTAGAACTGTACAAAAGGATGCAATGTATAAGGAGTTGTGGCTAACTTGTGCAAATGTGACTGGAAGGAGTGATCAAAATCCTAAGGTTCTGGCATACTTGTTCAGCTGTCATTTCCTTTGCTAGCCGTGATTCATCCTTAAAGGATGGATGAGAATATACATCAAGGTTCACAGAGCAGTGCTTCATCACTTCTAGTAGTGGTGTACCTGTCTTATTCATTGCAAAGATTGTATGGTGCTGGCTTAAAATTGTGCATAGTGCCTTATTTGTTATTGTAACTATTCTACAAGTGATTGCTTTTGGGGGGATTTCCTACAGATCTCCCTGATACAGAGTGAGTACTTTGCCAAGCACTTTGTTGATTTTAGTAGCCCTAAGAGAAGCCTGTATATAACTTGCTTTCTAGATAAGGGATAGACATCAAGAGAGGTTTAAATACCAGGAAACTTGGGATGGAGGATATAAAGTAGCTAGCTGATGTGCTATTCTACTAACTTGAGAAACTCAAATTGTAGCTGTTGCTGGCTTAAGTTGCAGTCTCTTCATCAGTTACCCAGAATATAATCAACTGTAAGAAATTTAAGTGATCTGTATATCTTTGTATAGTAGCCAAGATAGAGACTGATTAAAGTCTTTTTAGGATGATGTTTGAGAGGTGTCATTCTTAATCCTTTCGGGTTTTGGCTCAAAGAAAAGGTTTTTATCTAGAACAGTGTCTACAGGAAATGGCACTCTCTTCCTTAACTTAGGTTATTTTCAGAAAAAAAAAATCCTCTCTTAAAAATACATGATTCATGCATACAACTACAATTTGTAGATAACTTGGTGAACCTCTTTTGATGAAAAAGAACATAGGAAGATTTACTTCAGCTTAGGCAGTTCTTTTCCAAGGTAGAAGAACTTACTAGCACTGGACTTGTGTCATACTTCTGCTTTGAAAATGAATACCCTATTTTTAATTATTCCTCATCCCTTCTGTGTTCTTTTTTGGCCACCTGAGAGATAATATTTTATATCCTTCATATATCCCCTTGCTTAAATGATGGGCATAGTGTTTATGCACTGGAGATTCAGGCCTTTGACAATACAAGGTGTTACTCACATCAAAGCGTGACAGAATCCCTCGGAAGCGTTGGCTTTATGGCGTGTAACTTCTGATTATGTGTTGCCCTGCAATGGGTGGGTAACTGAAACGTACTCCCAGCTGCTGTCTTTTTCAAAGAGAAAAGGCTGCAATCTTCAGGGTGTTTCATTCAGTTCACAGTCTACTTCTAAGCTTCTCTTGAGAGAGGAAGGCTTGAAGCATACCAGAAAGATAGACTATGAATTTGAATTGCTCTGTTCCACCATGCAAAGACCGTTAATCTAAAATGTAAAGAATGTTTTCCTGTTTACATCTAACTTTTTCATAATGTCTCTATTAAAAAGTGATAATATCTTATGTGTCAGTGTCTTAACCAATGGGTGGTATTAATTCAGGACTTCTTCTGTTTTTAAATTAGAAATTATGGAAAAATCGGGTGAAGAAGGAATGCCTGATCTTGCTCATGTTATTCGTATTTTAACTGCGGAGAATATCCCTAATTTACCACCAGGAGGTGGTTTAGCTGGCAAGTGAGTACAGTACTAGAAGTTCTTGAACTGTTAAATTCACTGAAACTCTTTCATTTAAATATTTTAAAGCTTTCTTATTCTACTAGCTATACTCAAATAATTTTTTTTGTATTTCAAGCTAGTTGACCTTTTGCAGTATGTAAACATTTGTGTCACTATTCCCATTCCAGAATGGTAAGAACAAACACATTGGTCATATTCTGGTACATAACCTACTAGATAACTATTTCTATATGTCCACTTTAAAAAATAAAAATAAACGTATTCTTGGCTTTTTACTTCTTTACATTTGTTAAGAGCTGTCAGTAACATAATGGGAAAATCAAAATACCAGATCAGTTTTCCTGATGTTGTGTTCTCCCAACCATTTAGTGTCCATTATAAGTTTGGGACAGGATTTACTTGCTCAACAAACATTCTCATAAAAAAATTGTTTTTCTTTGTTTAGTCTAAAACTGAATGTTACATAACCAAAAATATTCAACTAGGATATGCATTTTAAAAGTTAATTGGAATAAATATTCAGAAATTACACTGGTATTCTGGAGAGGCTAATGGTGTTGTTCTAGAAAATTATAATTTAAGTAATTTCATGAAAATAACTTAGAAGTGCATATACAATTGTTAATGTAGAACTCCCCAGAAAGTAGGATTCATTATTGTTCCCTGATGTAGATCAGGTTGTTTCTGGAATCTTGGTATATTACAAAACACGAAGTCCTGTCTTTCGAGCATTTGTATATACATCTATTTTCATTGCATGTACTTACTCATGAGCCATGTTTGCCATGACTATATCTTTGTAGCCTTCAAAGTACCTACGTGCTGTGGGCCTTTTTCTCCTCCTGTGTGCATTCCAGGCATTCAGAGAAGATGTGTTTGCCTGTTCTTGCTGATCCCTCCCAACTGCTGTGTTCTGTTGTTTTGCTCATTAATACCTGCATCATGTACTGCTTCATTATTCCAGAACCTTTGCATATAAAGTCTATTTTAATTTCTTGTCATCCAGGTTACATTTTTTCAGGGGCTTGATTCAGAATTTACCTTTTGATGCCTTTCTCTCCCTTTTGTATTTTAAAGTCCCCTGACTTCAGGGAGCGTATTTGCAGTTTCTTGCAAGAGAATATCATACAGTATTAATAAGTTGTTCTTGACCTTAAAACTTAGGGCAAAGACAGCCAGTGACATATTTAAGTTGACTTTACTTGCAGGATTGAGCTCCTGAATGGAAATCTTGAAAAAACACTATTACACAACTCAAAATTACATACTGCATAACTTTAAATTTTTGTCCTAACAAGAGAATGTTTTTTGTCTTGAGGTTTTTATCCTGTGATGTTACCAGGTCATGAAGAACTCACACTTTGTCCTTCCTTTTGAACTCTTAAGACCTGGCTCAAACAGGTTGCAGAAAGAGCTTGTCTGTGGCTGACATCCATGCTTTTAGCACCAGTTATAGTTGCTCCAGATGTATGTCTGAGCTGAAGAAATGCAATGCAATGTTACTGTGACCAGGAGTATGTTTGTAGACCTTAGGAACCTCTGCAGTAGCTCCGCTTGTGTTGGTGTTGTGTACTTCTTTCAAGCTTCTCACTTGTATAGAAGCCCCTACTGGCTTATTCTTTGAGACGGGAGGTCTACAAGTATCAGCTCTGCTGTGGTTACTTGATGGTGCTGTTTTATTTTTTAAAATCTTACTCTCCAAAGACTGGCTTCTGGCTTGGCTCTGATCTGCTTATAACTTCAAGTACTTCCTCAAGAATAGTTATTTTTGGCTGAAGTAAACCAAAGTCCTGAGCAACCCTGGCACCCGGGTGTTAGTACCACTCAACATCTTGCTCCTGAGTTTTACCATCAAAGGAAAGCACAGGGAAATTCACTGTTCAAAGAAGGGAAAGTGATTTAAAAAAGAGTCTGATTTAAACCCTCTGTAATGGCTATCTGCTGCTTCTGTGGCAGCCTTGCTTGGACTGTCCAGGTGTTTTCAATTACACTGGTGTGAGGTGCCTTTGCTTTTTCTGGTACAGACATGTGGTCAGAATTGTGCCATTCCTCCACCATTAAATGTGGAACTAAGTGGAGAGAACCATTTCCCGTATCACCTGCAAAAAGATTCAGTTTCTTTTCTCTAGGAAGATCTTCCATCAAGGCTGATGGATCCCATTCTAGCTCAGCCAAGCAACCTTTCTAGATTTCTTAAATATGTTAAATATGTTCAGAAGGAGCCTCATCAAATTTTGTGGCATCCTCATTATTCTGGGGCAGAAAGTTCTGTCACATCAAGAGCCATCAGTGTGTATTTGAGACATTTGCTGCTGTCTTCAGCTGATGCCCTTGTGCTCTTTGTTTGGAGGGGTCAGCAGTTGGTGCTTACTTGCATTCTGTAAGACAGTTTCTCTAGATCTTGACCACTTCCAGACTTTGGAGTCTTAGTTCGTGTAGCAGTTCTTTTTTTGTTGAAACTGTCAGTAACTTTGATCATGTTTATTATACTTGTCTGAACATTTCCCAGATTTAACATTGATTTGAAGATGTAGGTACATAACGTTTTTCTCAAAAATCTGTTTATACCATGGGTTTTATTTTCTGTGAAGCTTTTTGTGGTTTTTTTTGCCTGCCTCTGAAGGTCAGGCTTAAGTGGCACTGCCAGAATTAGTCTGGCTAGTGGCTTTTGGTTTCTAATTTCTACAGTGTGAATAGCAGACAGCATATCTCAGAGGCTGTATATTCTGGGCACCACACTTGAAAATATGTAATAAAAATGGGGGAAACCAGAACTGTCTTCACAAGAAACCCAGCAAACTCAAAGAATTTTGTTAAAATAAGTGAAATAGGAATTTAAATGTTACTCTTGGCAAAATCTGAGATGCAGCTCTAAAGACACAAAGAGATAGGCCATGGGGAGGGTAAGGCAAGAAAATGTTTTATTTTGCTTAGTCTTTACAAATCCTGACCAATTGCTAGATCCCAGAATACCATATTGAAAGTGAGTAAAGACACTGAGAGTGGGCTTCATCTTTTTAAAAGTCAGGTTAAAAGAAAAATACCTCCAACACTTTAAAATGACTGCCATGCTCAAACTTTTCACAGTGTTTGGAAATCCTTTGTTGTGCTAAATTTTTTTAAAAACTTCTCTTTTTAGGCGTAATATTATTGAAGCTGTGTATAGTAGGCTGAATCCACACAGAGAGAATGAGGGGGTAAGTTCTCATTTTGATTGCTATATCTCTTTGTTAATGTCAACATCGAAGTAGTGTCATACATTAAGCAGAAGTGTACATCACTGTCAATAAAGTGTTATAAACACAGGATATCTGTGGTAGCATACTGGTAATTTTTACCTTGCTTTGGATGGATTTGATGTAGAAGTTCATTCTCAAAAAGGCAGAAAAATGACACCCAGTTCTGAAGGCTTTTTAAGCATCTAACTGACTACCGTTTTCTCAGTCAAACCTGTGAGGCAAAATGCAGGATTTTTCTAAATTATGGTTCATTATTGTAAGAAATTGTGGTCAGCAAATTCATTACTTAACTAGCTAGTATGTCTACTGTCCAGAAATTTAGTACAAGAGGGGGCAGACACACTTCCTGTTGTCTTCTGTATGTGTAGAAGACCTTTGTACACTGAAATAATAGATAATGAGACTAATATTGACTCTTTTTTTAGCATTTAACTATCTTTTCGTATCCCATATGCACTGGTCTAAGGAAAATGTAAATTGATTTTAGTTTACATCAGTTTTGATTTCTGAAATGCCTTAGATTTCCTACTAAGTTGAATTTTTAAGTAGTATGTTGAAATATGGTTTACTGTAGCTTTAAGCCTGATTATTAGGTGGCTCTTAGTATAAATAAGTAATAACCGGTGTTCCTGTCAATTATGTTTAAATTTGTTTAAAAACTGTGGAAAACTGAATAACTGATAAAAAACATCAGTGCTTGTACACATATTATTTTCTATACAGTTTATGTGAAGTTATCTGTGAAAGTACCATTCATATTCTGGTAAATCCTTTGTAATATTTTTTTTCTTCTGAGATGGCTACAGGCTCCTCAGTCAGGTAGTCATTACAGTGAATGGTGTTGAGGAGATGTCAACTTTTACTTGAAATACCTCAGAATTATCAGTTGTGCACGTTGAGATTGTAAATACAGTCTCACCACAATTATTATTGTCTTTCCCATTGTCATCTTCTCTTAACTACCTGTGTTTGATTTATACTCTGCAGTTAGAAAGCTCGGGTGGGTGGAAGGGGCCACTGTTCTGTTAGAGCACAAATAGAGAAGAAATCTCTAGCTTCCTAATTTTATTAGAATTTGTTCCTTTTTGTAGTTTGAAAGTGATAGAGTATACATTTTTCATTTCACTTTCAAGAAACTGTGCAACAGTACCCCAAAACAAGCTAGACAAAATTTTTCTCTTTTCAGCTTCTTTAGTCCTTCAGGAAACTCTGCACCTCTTTCAGCCTGCTATTGCTTTTTGTATTAAGCCAGAACTTTTCCTGCTTTTTGGGGAAAAGTTACTGGTTTAAGTGATTTATTTAAAAAGAACAGCCTAGGTTTTACAAATTGATTGGTATTTTAAGAAAAAAACCTAAAAGTTTGTCTAATGCTTACTTTTTAGAAATGTCATGTGCCATAGTCACACTTAAGATGCATCTAAGTCCAAATTTACTTTTCAACAGCCATGCAAGCTTGCTCAAAGTCCTAACATGCAGTACAGCATCCTTTTGTCTATTGGCTCCTTTCACAAAGTGTTTGTGCATCGTCCATTTTAGTTTAGTAAAATGAGGTAGCTGACCTAAGTATGCATTATGCTCATTAAAGAATATACCATTACCAGCTTTGACCTTTTTTGCCATTTGAATCCCTGGTTTGGCATTTAATTTGGCTTCTCTCATAGATGTGAACACAACAGTACACGCCAGTCTGCTTTGTAAACTTTTCTTACGTTGTTATATAAGTGTAAATATGAACAATGATGTGTTTTATATAGACTGAATTAAATTTTAATTTGATTTTGTGATGTAATTTGGCAGTCAGCACCTTCTCTTCTTCCCATCCCAAGTGATATTGACCCAGAGCAGTTTGAGAGGATGATCTCCTGCTTGGTGAAGGATGCAGTTCCTGTTTGCACTTTGCCAGCAAGTTATCTTACCATCCTTGAAGTGCATTCATTCAGTGGGGCTCACTTTTGAGATGATGGAAAATGATTTCCTTGCTGGTCTTACTCAGTTTCAGGTGCATATGTGGTGATCTTGTAGCTTTCTGAACTGAATGCTCTGGTGCCTGGGGAGGGTAAAAGGGAAGGAAGCTGTTCAGTTACTCAGCATAGAACTCTTCAGAATGTCCCCATATATGATAACATTGCTACAGATCTCTCAGTAACAGGAAGCAAAGATAGGAAGGAAAGATATAGTACATCCCAATGATGACATTGCCAAGTGAGATTGAAATGAAGCTAATAATGCCCCTGTTTAAAAGTAGTAGGAAGCAAGAGCAGATCTTCATACGAAAAATGAGGAGCTAGAGACAAGGATGCTGAGTCTGCAGAGCACAGAGGGGCAATGGCTTGCACTTGAGTATCTTTCCCCATGTGTAGTTAACAGTGCACACGTGTCAAGTGTGGGTGTTGTGCAGAATATTGCTGTTGCTAACTGGAAGGGAAAGTCTGCCTGTACCAATCATCTTCATCTTACGATTGTATATCAAGCTAGAACTATTCTTATTACCTTGGCAAAATAATAATGTAATTAGCTGCTAAAAGTATTAATGCACATGTGTAACAATTAAAAAACCCAAACAAACAAACACAAAAACAACCCCATGCAAACAATCTAATTAACTTTTGCACTTGAGAATATGACTTCCTTCTAAAAAGTATACTTTTAAGTGTTTTATAATTTAAAATAGTTACCTGAAATCCTGTGATGAACTGGATCATAATAGCTTTGCAAGGAAATTCTTAGAAAGTATATAAATTAAAATCAACGTTGTATCTCTTTCTAAATTAGCTTTGTTTTACTCAGCACTGTAAATATTTCAGGTAGTTTTGTGCTTAGAAACTTTTTTTTGTTGTCCAAGGTAGAGGTTGTAGAGTAACTTTTCTGTTCTTCACATATGCCTTTTGTGAGGATCCCTAACATGGAGCCTAAATAAGGAGATGATGAGCAGAGCAAGAGACTGAGAAGTGAAAGGGTCCTTACTACAGCAGAGATCACTGGTGTGTGGCTGTAGGGTATAGCAGTCCTAAGCTTTTTCTGCTAGGTATCTCAGAGTACAAGTATTTTGTATATCAGGGGCTGGAGGGAGCCCTGCTCTGAGGTCACAAAGAATAACTTTACCAGTGCTTGAGCAGAGGAACTTCTGCTGTAAATGTTGTGGCTTGTGTCTTTACGAATATGAGCGAAAGCACAGAAATCTGTTACGTGTTGGGGACTCGTGCTTTCAGTTCTTTAAAGGGAATTTAAAAGGCATTATTCATAGCTAAATAATTGTTACCACTGTAATGTTACAATATCACCAAGTTATTCTAACGTGTTAAAAAAGCACTGCTTTTTCTCTATGACTGCTTCTTCGACCATTTTTATTTTTTGATGTGCCCCTAAGACTAGGAGAATACTAACTGAGGAGACTACTTTGCTGTGTATATATATATATATATATATATATATATATATATATATATCTCCTTAAACACAAGGAACAGTGTTAAAATTACAGTGGCCGTGTCAATAGTTCCAAGTGGTACTTGTTTAAAGCTGCCTTCGAGCATCTTGTTTGAAATCAATCACGTTTCTCTCTTACTTTTAGTAATAATATACTCTGGCACTTTGCTGAACCAAATCATATGTCATTAAGGGCTGCTACACATAATTTAAAAAATGTAAATGGACACAATTCTTAACGCTTTTCTCACAACATTGTAAATCCAGTCCTTAATACATGCTAACCCATGTTATACACATAATATAATAGAACAGAACTTGTGTAAAAATTGTCAATGCTCATGCTGAATATAGCCAGCACAGATTTATTCTTGTTTTTATGGTCAGTAGCACTTAAATTGAATTGGAACGTGAAGGAAGACAGATGCTACCTTGCACAATAACCAGAGTTTTCAGGGACCTGTTCTAGCCTCACATCATTAGAGAGAAACCTCTGTCTGTATAGTATGTAATGTTGTCTGTGGGGTTTCTTGTCTCTTAGCACTGAGGGACACACATGAAGCACAAAATAGCCTGCTGTAGAATAGGGTGCAGGATGTGAGTCTGAATATCAAACACTAACAGCACTGTTAATTCATCTCCTACTAGCATTTGAATTGTTTAGGAGTCTCAGGGCTGCTATTATATTGCTTATTGCTTTTTACTCTTCAGTGTTGCATGGGAGCAAAATTATTCACTTCAGTCTGCCAAAGGAATTTTTAAAGGTCTCGGTATTGTGAAATGTGGAAATTCAGAGTGTGTGTTTGTTAATATCAACCTCAGAGCAAACTGATGGAATAGATGAAATACAGAATTTAGATATGCTTTGAATTTTAAAAAATGGAAAGTCTTCAGCTATGCTGCCTTGTTTAGTATTAGATAAATAAATAACTTGAGGCTTTTTCTTTGCCAAAACCTAAGAAACAGGATGCATCTGTATCCTCATCTTGATGCCATGATTTTTCACTGACCTTGTGCCAATAAGGCATTAAACCAGTTCCACTTAATATATAAAAACTACCTCCTTTATCTTGCTTCTCCTCATTGGGGTCTTGAAGAGAATGTTGAATCCTTGAATATTCTCTTGAATATTTTCATATTTGAATATGAAAATGCTAGTACATGGGAGTCAAAACATCTCAAACTGAGACCAGCAAACCACCCTGAAAGCGTGTCTCTTATTTAAGTAACAAATTAAACTTAGAGGGACAGCATTATATACAGTGATATTAATTTTTGTAGTAAAATTGTCCCCTTTTTAACTTGGACTATACTGATCAGTCTTGGGGCTTCTCTTCCAGCAGCATTACATACAGCATGCAAAATCTTACTGACCCCCAAATATTTTCTTAATACTGCCATTAAGCTTGTAAGTGAGTGACAGCAATACTTGTAGTTAGGAAGCTTTTGGACTACATGACAATAAAATGAGGTCAGCATGAGAACAAGGTAGTCTGGACTGTGTCTCTAATGTCTTGCAAAATCTGCCAGCTTCCAGAGATACAGTTCCATTTGTCTAGCTTGATAAGTTACTAGATATTAATAATGTAAACTGGACTATTCCCTTAAAGGAACAGTACTGCTTTAGCACTTGAAAATATCTAGTATCAGTATAAGTCTACCACCAAAAAACCAACCAACCAACCAAAGAAAACCAACAAGAAACCCCAACGAACAAACAACATTTTTTTAAACAGAAGGCTTGTAACCAAATAGGTCTTTTGCTAAGGAAACTTCCGTTCCTTAACCAGCACTTGTTTTTCAGATTTTTGTGCTGTAGGTTCTTTAGGCTTGACTTTACATAACTGTTTTACCTGCTAATTTTTTTGGCAATACACAGTCTGCCAAAGGTGTGTCTTATGTTGTTCAAATACCATCGCTCCTGGTGCTAATGGGTAGCTGCTTGCTTTTTTTCCGGCAGCATCATGCATGTGAAAATCAGAGATTGTTTACTAAAACACTGAGCGTTTATTTTGAACTAAACTGCTATCAGTAGGGTTAACTGTTCTCCTACTTATTCACAGAACTGTGCTGCTATTGGCTGTGCAGAAATTCATAGTTAAATATATTGGCCTGGTGGCTAAAGAAGCTTAAATTTTCAAAATTTTCCATTGACAAATGACCAACATTTTGGGGAGTATCAGCTGTATTTTTTATCAAAAGACATTTTGAATAAATATGGAGTTGATTGTGAGGAGGTACCATGACTGGCTCAATATGAAGTGAATTTATTAAAAATACTGGTTTAATAGTTATCGTTTCTTGTGTTGTATCAAAAGATGAACATGAAATATATAATTCTAAGATGTATGTTCCTAATAAGGTGTCTTAAATTAAAATAGAGCAAAGCTAGTGTTTTCTCAATCAGAAAAAAAAAAAAAAAAAAGGGTTTGGTTGTGTGGGGTCTTTGTTTGGGGATTTTTTTTTTTTTTTTGTCATGTCGTTAGAAAACATTCCAGTTTAACTACATGATTTCTTTGGGGTCTTGAATCTTAACAAAAGGACCCCGGCGCGGCCGAGGAAGGAGGAACGCAGGGCAAGTTGGTGGAGGCGCTGAGGCAGATGAGAATTAATCATAGGGGGAACTACCGCCACCTGCTGGAGGAGATGCTCAGTAGTTTCAGGCTGGCGCAGGGGCCGGGGCCGGAGCGCTCGGCAGAGCCCGCCCCGCCCGGGCAGGACACCCG